AAGAAACTTGATGGACATATTCCTTATTGGCACCTGGGGTGTACCGATGGGAGATACTTGATTATTCCCAACAACATTTTTTTTTTTACTTTTTCCTCAGGAAAAAGTATGATTAATTACACTTGAAATGTAATTGTAAAATAGCATCACCGTAGCTAAGAGAATTGAATTCCCTGAAGTTCAAATATGATGGTAAATTGATAACTACTTGAAATTTTACGACATTACCGATTAGAATGCCTTGTCTCTTTTTTTTTTAGTATGTTTATAAACTAATTAATTATTTATTAGATGAATCAATGTTGAGCTTTAAAAGTAAGACCGAAAACAAACATTTGTCAATCATGCATGACTCCATTTTACTGAATTGAATAAAGAAGGTATTTGTTTATTATTGCAAGTAGGTATAACAAACAGTATTAGAAAAAAGTAGCTGATGATAACGGTATTTAGATATATTCAACTTGTTCAAGCTCCGAAAATAAACGGGAATATTATGGTAGTTCATAACGCTGGATTATCAGAGCATGTTATATCTGTTGAAGACCTGCAGTTTCATTGCTTCCTCACTGCTGAAGGTAGGAGAGCATTCTGTTTATACAAGAAGACAAAACAAACAGTCTTAAAAATTGAAGAGATCTACTCTCGTTTTAAACATCAAGAAAAAAATGTAGAGTTCGTTTTTTATTACACTTTCGGGTTGCTGAGTATGAGCAATTTACTATCAATTTTATTCAATTTGAACCACTAATAACTATATTTTCCTTGGCACATCTATATTCCATAATGACACATTCAATTGATCCCAGGAGTGGATTAGGCGGTAAGTGAAATAAGTTTCCGCCTAGAGCCCCATACAGTTAAGAGATTAAAATATCCCAACTTTAATAAGATGAAAATGAATGAAAAGGTTTAGAAAATCATTCAATAAATAATCGAACTAACTAGATGTTATACTTGTAGTCCGTTCAGAAAGTGATCTGTCCCGACGATCTATCAGGACATAGCTGGTTTTCCCAGCCTTTATTTCTGAAGGGGCACAGAAATGTTTACAGGTTAGGGCTCCAACTTGTCATAGATCCGCTCCTGTTTGGACATAAACATTCACATATGTTTGTTTTATGTACCTTTTCCGAAAAAAATGTTCAATAATTATTCAATTTCTGTTTTGTTGTAAATTTCTTCTTATTCCAATAAGCGAAGAAGATACGCTATCAAGTTTGGGGGATTGGTTTTTTTTTTTTTTTTTGGATTTAGTATTTGCATAAGGAAATTTAAAATTTAAAACAAACTATTTTTTCTAGTACATCAACTTAATGGAATTAGTTGGCGGTATATTTCATAACATATTCTATCTATCTATCTATCTTAATGGCTCTACAACCCTCGGTGGGTCCTGGCCTCTTCAATGAGCTTCCGCCAAATTTCTCTACTCTGTGCGGCCGCTTTTCTGTTTCTGTCTCCAAACAGGTCCCTAGCGACACCTGCGACACCATCTGCCCATCTCAATCTCGGTCTGCCAACTCTCCTCGTATGGTGTAATGTTTCCTTAAGTACTCATATCGAGAGTGTCAACAATGTGTACTCCCCTACTCAACCTTCCTAATTTTATTATTCTGGCCACATTAGGTTCATAAATATTCAAGAGTTAAAAAAAAAAAAAATTAAATTATCGTCAATTTTTATTCCATTCGATTTGATCTCGGTGATATATAAATTAAAAAGGCCTCCTTATAGCCATAACATAAATTCTATTGTAACAACTTGCAGACTATACTCTGACACCAGAACAAAACATAATATACCTTCCAACATATCTGAAGCACTTTCAGATGACGAAGAAAAGATACAAAAAATGTTTGAATTTATAAAAGACATTAAATTTGTACACCTAATTTGATTACATCTAAAGCCGCTAATGACACGATCGGGTAGATGCGGAATGTAACAATAAATAAGTAAATTCTATTGAACATTTTTGAAGTGAACTTAAGCAGGCGTGTGACAGAAATTAACTAAATCTCTCGATAACATATCATAACATTGCTTGAGGTGATAATTGAGTTTAAATTGAGGCATTTATTTTTACAAACCTAAAGCGAGATGTCCCTAAATGAAAATTTAATAAAATAAGGTGGGCTTAATAAAATATATTTGAGACGGTCATTCAAGCAATAATGGTATTATTGAATGTTTTTGTTTGGTTTTAAAATAATACATTTAAAAAAAAAATGTAAAGATTTTATTGTCTAAATAATTTTTACCGGATTTCATCAATTTTATATAAAACTAATAAATATATCTTTAAAAAAACAAAACATTTTTCTGCATAGAATTGATTACAATGAAATAACAATATTTCAGTTGGAAATATAACTACTTTTCGATCAATCAAACTCTCATTAATATTTAAATTTGACCAAATATAAGAAAATTGACTTATGAATGTAAGATGAATAGAATGGAAAAAATGATGATAAGCTAATCCTTTGCAATTTTTTAGATTACATCAATCAAATTTAAAACTATATTTTGAGCTATGGGGCTCCACTAAACCATCGAATTCCTCTCGCATCCAATCCTTACAATCCAAAATCCTTCGAAAAATCCTCAATGCTCCTTACTTTGTCACTAACAAAATTATCCATAAAGATCTTAATGTTCCTTATGTTTCAGATCTGGTCCAATCCAGATACCTACCCTTCCATAATAAACTTCAGAATCATCCCAACCCTCTCGTTTCTAACCTCGCTTCCTCTTCAATTCCTGATAACCCTCCGAGGTGTCTGAAAAGAAGATGGCACCGTGATCTCCTAATGTAGTCATATCATTAGATTGCTACCATTGGGTAGTTACTCAGCAAGTGTATTCATGTCATTATATCTATTATGTCCAAATTTACTAGATGTATTTATGTAATACATTTGTAAATGTCATTAAGAAATAAAAAAAAAAAAAAAAACTATATTCGGAAAAATGTTTATTTAGTTTCAATATATATTGGAGCAAATTCGACCAATATCATACTACATCTTAATTTTAAGCAATAGTGGATCCAGAATTATATTTTGTGAGAACTTTAGCCGGAAAGGTTTTTTTTTTTGTTTATATGCACATAAACACACACACATGTGTCGCGACACCCCTTCTACATATCAGATATTACTTTACTACTGACACGATTTTCAGATATTTGCTTTAATAAATGTCAGGAATTTTGTTAATAACAACTGATTTTCAACAATTCTTTGTAAATATATCACTATTGACCGGTGGAAAAATTATGCATCCATATAAATACAAGCATTGTAATAACATTTTGTTAAAAATAAAGTTAAATAACACATTTCTCTGTAAACTCACCCTACGGCTGTTACAAGAATTAGTTTGTATGAAAATGTAAACATTCTTTGGTTATTAAAATCCCCACCATTCGGATGTTAAATATTTTATGAATTTCATAAGTTATTTTTCAAAGAGGTGATCAAATCGCAATCTATCGTAATGCCACAAATGGCTATTGTTACTGGAAAACGTCGTATGAAGTAAATGATTTTTTTTTACAGAAGAGAGTAAAAACTGATTATTTCTTTATGATTTATTAGTATAATTTCATATTTTATTTTCTTCTTCTAATTTCCAAAGTACTTATTGCAGTTACGGACAAGAAAATATCATCTTGAGCACAAATAGAATAAACAAGAGAAATTGTTACATACGAACTTTTGCATCAACAGTAACTATATAATATTTTTTTTCTGAGTGATAGCTGGCATTTGGACATTACATGCAATTGGTGCATCGAAAACCCGATTTAATGGTTGAGGACAATTAATTGTACTGATTAAAAGCGTTATTTATGTTAAGAGTTTGAGGCCCCTACACACAGAGTGCGATATTTCTCGGCAATACGATATTCCTATAGAAGGCGATATGGCGATAAAGTTGTATTACTACTGATTGCATTATAACAGTTATGCAGAGCACGATAATCCGCAGCGATGCCAACAAAGGGAATCGTATCGCCAGGACATATCGTGTTCTTTGTGTAGGAGCCTTAAATGTTGAAATTTCATTATTTTTTTTCTTAAACGCTAAATACGACGTAGAAAGCAGAAGAGAAGCTCTGGTCATGGGAAGTAGGCTAATGGTTAGTTATTAGTAAAATTTAATGTTGCTCATTTAATTTCGCTTATCTCGGAGAGCAGACATCTTCACGTGAAGAAATAAAAACATGGTTCGTTGGAAGCATATATATATATATATATATATATATATATATATATATATATATATATATATATATATATATATATATATATGTGTGTGTGTGTGTGTGCTCATAGATAGATCATTTAATTAACTGTGTAGATCAGATCATACGAAAATCTTCAATTTCAATTGAACTACTATTTTTTTGAAAAATAATCACATGAAATTTACTAAGATTAGAGAAGAGGTCGATTGATTGATTAATCGAATCATAATCAAATTCTATTAAAGCGTTATAGAAAACAAATTGTAGACTATATTCTAAATTTACGGCATTAATTAGAATCACAACTGAGAAATATTTATCAACGGAAAACTTATATATATTTTTAAAAATAAAGTACTAAATAGGATAATAATTTTTTTTCTATCTATCTCTTCTGGAATCTTAAGAGTGTCATTGATTTGTTAATGTTTTTCATAAAATATGTAAATAAAGGACTCAATGACGCTAGAAGGCCAGAGATATTAACGCGCTAAGTAAGAGTGATGTATAAATTACTGGAGATTTATTTAATTTTTTTTTCCTTATATCACTATTGAACGCGAATAAACCTCATATTCTTGGTCGGAATTCACAATCATTTATTCGTTATAAGTATAAAAATCGTTAAAATAAGTATTAATTTAAAAATGTATCGATCATGATTGATCATTCACAGTCCAGCATAATACTTTAAAGAGCAAGAAGATAATGATATACAACGACATTGAGGATAATGTCCTACCTGGAATATTGAAGGGGCAACTCTTGGCACTCAACTAACTCCGCCTGTTGCTGTCCACTCTTAGTCCACAATCCCCACCCCATCGGAATGACGTCACTTCGGTCCAGAACCAATGAGATCATCTCTGTGATCCGGTGTACATTGCATTTCCCACTATTTATTTGACAAGTAATAACACATCTTATGATAACATACAGAACTTTACCGATCTATTATTGCACTCTCTCAAGACCTATTTGTTTGGTGCAGAAATTCTCAGTTTTAAATTCCCTCTCGCTTGATATCTGGTTCATCGTCATCTGAGACCCGGATAAGGAATCTATTAGCATAGATATAATATAAGGTAGTCTGTTTAATACAATGTGTAGATTATGTGAGTCTTTCAGTTGACAGAATGACTAACTCCAATTTAAATATTTTTGATCATTAACTTTTGTGAATTCTTGTGTACACATTTACTTGATATATTTATATTCTAATTTTAAATATCATGAATAAATAAAAAAAAAAATAGTGATATTTCTAATGGGAAATATTTATATCTTTATTCACAGTTCTATATTTCAACACTGCAATCACTTAATCTTTTGTAGTTAAGTTGCCAAACTAACTTACTCACTGTACAGATAATATAAATTTACCTTAAGTAAAAATATCACTAAAATGACTTTACTAAAAAATGTTGAAATTCGAGTAAGTCATTCTATTAACTGAAAGGCTCATATATAGTATTAATAGATAATTATCAAACTATAATATTACAATTCTAGTATACCCTTATGAGAACTCTCACATTAGATAACTATCTATCTCCCTAATGCATTCGGGGCATTATCGACACCAGTGAAACCACTTTATTTGTATATATATATATATATATATATATATATATATATATATATATATATATATATATATATATTATCAAGATAGTCTATTTAACCCATAAAATTAATAAGTGATTAGCTTGTCCTGTTACAAAATTCCGTTTCTGTTTAATAGTTAAGCAATAAGACACAACTATCATGAAATTATAAAACTATACTAATTCATTATGGTACTCCCTCACACTAACGGTTCCAGGATTTAATTTTGGGAAGGGGTTCAGCCCGAAAGCTTTATATATATATATATATATATATATATATATATATATATATATATATATATATATATGACGATTATTATTTTGAAAGAAGGAGAAAGAATCTAACTACCTACATGAAATGGTGTTTAAGTAATTCTTTAAGTCCTATTAAATGTAATTACACAAACGATAATACTTTTAGAGGTAATTTTTAATATTTCTTTCATAAGACAGGGTTATATTTTACCAATTTGAGGGGGAGGTGTGGTGCTTCAGCCCAAAATCTCCCTCCCACCTTAGATTCGATTGTGCTCGCAATATTGTAAATATCAAAGTTTACACGCAAGTGGGTGGAAGGTTTCGTAATATAAGCCAATAGTCCGTGGTACACCTTTTTCTCAAATTATTAACATACTCCTGAAACTATGTAAACAGATAAAAACTCATAAATACCCATTTGCTTTCCACTTAAATTGTAAGGTATGATCACAAAAGCGAAAAAAATTGGGCTTTTGACTTATATAACCTTGTTATTTTAACTTTTTTGGGGTAGAGGTCACGCCAAACGGATGAATATTTTTGTAGGCCACCTACTTTGTTATCATATTATCTTACGAGTCAAGTGGAAAGCAAATGGTTATTCATGAGTATTTAGTACCTAATTAAATAGAGATAGTTTGCCGATCTGCAGATTGAAAACGCCCCAATTCCGAGAATTTTCTTTAATAAAAGATTTGTAGGTTAAGATGAGATGAAGCTCTTTTCGAAGTTTCAGGCGGAAGTTAATAATTTGACAAAAAAGAGTACCATTGGCGACAAGTTCCTTTACAATCACCGGTATTTGTTATACGTCATGAATAAGATGACATCATACGTTAACATCTTGTTAACTAACTCGGTTTAAAAATCATTTGGAGCAATTGGATCCAAATTTTAACGTTGCTTACGTTTTCGCTTGATTTAGTTAACAGAGAAGGTTAACTTTGATCACGACTGTGTTGATTTTAATATTGGTTTATGGGTTTTCTCATTAAGTGTAAAACATTGAAAAAACCAAAAGCCTTTTTTAAACTGAGCCAAATCAATCTTTATTAAACTAACAACACAACTTCATAGAAAGAACAGGGTTATAACTAAAACATGCGTTTTATATATTTCCTTTTTTTTAAATTCATATAATCGATATAACATATGATCGATATTAATAAAATTACTTTTAAAAGACTGTTTGTGCAACCGTACCCAAGAGTATAGAAGATAAATATGAATATATTTTTTTTATTTATTAAATATATAAAAACGTTTTTTTATATAATATTTCCACTGCCAATCATAGAGCTAATTTTCCTTCATTTAACTTTTCAACAGATTATTTCAACAGTTCTTCGAAAACTAACATAAAAAGCAATATTTTAAATCCCAAACATGCGGTATGTATCCCATGGCAACCATTAAACCTAAGACGCAAGAATTGTGTAGATTTACCTAGAAAATGGGATATTGGTGGACTTTAAACCGTAGTGTCTTGACGACCGTTTCAAAATCTTTAAACTACAACTTATATTGATGCGTTATTTCATTGATTTTTAAACCACCTGAGAATTGAAACATCCTAATTTTTTTAATGCCTTTTTTTACAATTGTTGAAAAACATGTAAAAATGAAGTATCAAAATCGGGATTCTCTTCTCCATGAATATTCTCATTCATCTAAACCCATCGCTCCGTATTACATATAATGACGATTTTGTTTTCTTTTAGGGTTAGGTATATATATTTTTTTTATGTGCCCAACTATCTATGGAAATAGATGTGTTTAAAGGAAAACGTTTTTTGTATTCTAGACCTCTACGTTAACTATCTCTCTCCATCTAATGGACCATTTCTCATGGGGTTCAAGTGCTATTGATACTGTTTTAGAAGGATTTCCCATGAAAGTATTTTCACACGTAATTCTGGCAATCGACGATAACATGTAATGATAAACGAATAAAAATAAATAATCATTATTGTGTCATATTTTTCCCGCTCAGATTATCATTTTTCTTAAACAAACAGCGTGAAGCTTGGAATAAGTACCAACTATTCACGTAGTTAAATTATCCATATAGTAATATTTAAAAAAACTGCCTCAATTAACAAAATCGATTAATATAGTTTATTTTATTTTTTTAAATTATTTCGTTACAAAAATATACTACAAATGATCTCTTATTTTTTCTTTAAATAAAAATACTGAACTAATGTACCTCAATATTTTTCGTTAGGACTTCAATATTAGTAATGATAACTCATTAGATCCTGATTCACTTGAACTAAATTCAGTATTAGCTGAATGATACCTAGAGTTAATAAATATTTAAGTAACATTACTAGTTCAATGATTTTTTTTAATAAGTAAAACCATTCATGAAATAATAGGACAGTCCATTGGTCGAAATTCGTCCAAAATTATAAAATTGTTTCATTTTCGTTATTTATTTTTAATTTTAGATTTGAGCTATGGGGCTCCACTAAACCATCGAATTCCTCTCTTATCCAATTCTTACAATCCAAAATCCTTCGTAAAATCCTCAATGCTCCCTACTTTGTTAGAAATAAAACCATCCATGATGACCTTAATGTTTCTTTTGTTTCAGATCTGGCCCAATCCAGGTACCTATCCTTCCATAATAAAGTTCAGAATCATCCCAACCCTCTCGTTTCTAACCTTGCTTCCTCTTCAATTCCTAATAACCCTCTGAGGCGTCTGAAAAGAAGATGGCCCCGTGATCTCCTAATGTAGTCATATCATTAGAGTGCTACCATTGGGTAGTTACTCAGCAAGTGTTTTCATGTCATTATATCCATTATGCTCAAATTTACTAGATGTATTTATCTAATACAGTTGTAAATGTCATGAAGAAATTAAAAAAAAAAAAATTTAGATTAGCATGTTCATTGCAAAAGGTTCATGATGGAAAACTGTGAGCGATATCTCCTTGCTTTGAATTATATATTTTTACTTCTTTAAATATCTTTAAAATGATTGTGTATAAAACCATCCATAAAAGGATTGCTTTTTGAATTATAAATAAATTTTATTATTCTTTTCGTCATAACTAATTTTACTTTCCTACCTATACTAGGTAAGGAAAGTATTGCGATCGGGTCAAATTTCTGATTTTCGGTTTTTCGATGGATCTTTCCATTTCAGAGCCCTCTGAGTCGGAAAAACACCTTTTCAGCCATTGGTCTGTCCGTCTGTCTGTCTGTGCCGAGGTTATCTCGGAACACGTAGACTGATTTTGTTGCTTCTTTTTTTTATTTTGTAGGGTTTTGACTGCTGATGCCTGTGACACGAATTGAATGCTCCCTGCGCAATAGCGGCTGCGCAATCAGTGAAAAACATATTTTTCCATAGATTGTAGTGCACAAACGGCTCTGACGGTTTTGATATAACTTTGCTATAATTTTCTAATTAATTTCCTTTCAATTTTCGTAAATGTGCTAAATTCCCGAGAAAATTCAGGAAAAAATATTATGAAGAAAACAAAATACAATGTTTTGGGACCTAACTCGCTAAGTATATATTGTATGGTAAAATTTATATATAAACTTTTGAAAGGTAATTAAATTACCTACAATAACATAACAATAACAAAACAAATTACTATAAAGCAGTACTTTTCAACCTTTTTTTTTTTTTTAAGGTGGTGAAATGCTGTGCAAAACTTTATAAAAATCATTTATTTCGGACAACTATTAACGGACACAGGTATTTAATTTCTTATGGAAGATTATGAGTTCAAATCTCGGTGATGAGTTAAAGTGAGTACGGTGCCAGAAAGGGGAGAGAGAAAAAAGAAAGTTAAATTAAAAATCTTGTGTCCACATCACACAATTTTCACTACTTTCTCTACTTTTAACAGAGATTATTTTCTGACGAAATCGGACGATGCAAACAAATTTTGATTTTCAATATTAGATTATGTTGGA